GCCCCCCCTTTGTCGCCCTGCTGTGGTTGGGGAGGGGGGGTCTTTTTCCCCTGCAGCACGTCGTACCCCGTCGCCTGGTGGGTTTCAGAAAGTTTGAGCAAAGGACCGCCAGCGCGGTGCCACTGAAAAGAAACGACACGCTTCCGTTTCCAAGAAGGATAAGGGTTTTGTTAATTTTTATTTATTTTTTTTTTCCTCTCTCCCCCGACGGGCGGTTGGAGCTTGAAAAAGGCATTGGAGGTTTTTCCCAGCCTCGGAGCACCGCCTCGGCAGCTCCCCCTGCCCCGGCACCCGCGGGAGAATGCGGGGGAGGCCGGGGAGGAAGGGAAACGGCAGGGGCCCCTGCACATCCCGGCCCGGAGGTTAGCCCAGGAGCCTGGCCAAATCCACCGCCCAACGCCCGCTCCCCGGCGTCCTGTTTCATCTACCCGGTCTCAACATGGCCGTTACGTTCCTACTTCTGCTGGGACGATTTCTCTGAAACGCACAAAAAAAAAAACCCGAACCCCAAAACAAAATTAAAAAATGCGTAATGCAACATGAAAAAGAAATCCTGAGCTATGTCCTCTTTTCTCAGTATTATTTTGCCCTCTTGAAAGTGACTGGGCTGTCCTGGACTATCCTTATTCTGTGTGACAGGGATCTGCCGACAGCCTTTAAGTTTCCATTCATGGAGGAGGCTTCAGCACCGGCATTACTCTTCTCTCATGGGGATCCAGGAAGAGTTTGTGACAAATCTAGTGTGACTCCTCTCCCCTTAACTTAGTTAAGGAACGGGAGCTCATGGGATGACAGAACCTTCCCTGGGTCTATTTGGTCTGATACGCTGTCTCCGGAACTGTGTGGTAACAGACATTTCACAGCAAGATGCAAGCAAGTTTGGAGATAAATTTTTGTTTCCCTAGACTATTCCCTCACAGACATTAAAAGTGAAGAAAGGTTAGACAAATCCTTGAGAATGTCAGGGCTGCTAATAGTTGTTGTGTTCTAAAAATCAATTTTGTTTAATAGGAAAGGTTTAATTCAGCCTCAGTGGAATGGAATGGAAACTTTGCAATTTCCTACCACACAAGCCAGATCAAGCTGTTTTCTGTGCTCTTCTCTGCTGTGGCTCTGATAACCTAGTCTCAGAAAGTGACCTCTAAATAGCATCAGCAGCAAAAGGAGAAAAACCCATTCTATCTGTGAGCATGAACTTCAAATTTCACTTGGTATAATTCATGTCAGACAGCCTCTTCTAGAAAAAAAGTGGATTCAATGCAAAACCCTATTTAATACCATTGTAAAAACTACATCATTTCTTCAGCGTAAAAGTTAGGATTCCATCAGTCTTGTCAGCCCTGTTGAACATCTGTAATACTCTTTTTTTATACATGATATTATTTTTTATATATTAGATTATTTTTATCGTTAGATGGGCTCATCAGCAACAGATATTGAAAATATATGCCAAGGATCCCAAATTCACCCACCTTCAGTGGTGGTTTTACTCGGTTCTACCCGCAACTACCAACAGCAAATTACAATACCAGTTAGCCACTGCAGCTCTAGGTTTCATGCCAGGCCATGTGCACATTCAGAAAGTAGTGTGCCTTCATCTTCTTCCCCACCTTCTGCTGCACTTCCTTCACCCTGAACCTTAAAACCCAGCTCCTCTGCTGCTTCATATGGACTAATCCTCATCCCACACAAGGAATCCCTGCTTGCATCCCAGAGACGTGAGGACTGATGGTGTTGGGTGTCATGAGGTGCCTTGCCCAGCAGTGCACTTTTCTGCCTGTGCTCAGTCTGCTTGCAACCAGTCTGACTGAAACTGACCTCCACCACCAAGAGAGGCCAAAAAAGTTGACTCCAAACTGACTGGATGTACAGGTAGCCACAGCAGCCTCATCCAGGCAAGTGTAAACTTTAGGGTTTGTTTTATGTCTGTGTGGTTTTAAATACCACCAGCAGTACCAGCAAGCGCTCTATGATGCTCCCAGCACCCTTGAGGAACCTATCTAATATTGTAACTACAAGCTCTAAACCATCAAGACTCCAAAACTTTTATTCAGTTATTAAAATGTAAAACTGTCAGTTTACACTTGAGTAAAACATGAAGAAAAACACTTCTCCAAAAGCACACATTAATAATCTGTGGCCATTTTTCTGAAAATTCAGGCTGCTCCCATGCCTGTCATTCTACTACCACGAAAACACACTACTGGGTTAGAAGAGGACTATGGGATCCTGAGAGGTAAGTCAGCGCATCCCCTGTCACAAGGCAGCCTTTGTGATATCACTCATGTACCTGATCCCTATCATCTAACCTGTTCTTGAAGACTTCTGCTGTTGGCAACTCCACCACCTATCATCTCCATTGATCTGATCCTGCAGTGGTTCACTGTCTTCACCTTCTGTGCATGCTATTCTAAGCTCTGAGGTTATCTGTGTAGCAGGGACCCAGAGTCACAGGAGTTGCTTAAAAATTGATCCAGGGCAAGTTCCCAACTTGTTCAGTGCTTTCCCAAATCAGTCCTGATCTCTATTTCAGAAATAGCCTTACAGCTGTGACTACAGTGAGGAAGACCCCTCTCATAGCTGTTCTGACCAGGTTTTACTCCTAGTATACTCTTATTCTCTAGCTCTCTGATGTACTCAAGTAACAGACAGATGCATATAGTGTATAGGTATATAGCATATATATAACAGAATTGAGCCAGTGGAACATTTCATTTGCAATGACAAAGTTTATTATAACACAAAATGGGTTTACTGTATAGAGAATTTAAACATTCATATCTAGTACTTCACCAATTCCTTTAATTACCTTTCTTTAATGTATCATCAGCAGCACTTCACAAATCTAACAAGCTATGTAAATTATGCCTTGAAATGATTTCCTCTTTCTCATACAATCTAATGATATTTAAATAATGAATAGAGTTTATATCAAAT